CATTAATCTATACAATTTGTTGAGTTTTTCTATGATTCTTCTTGAGTTTACGCAAGTACAAAATGTGAAAAAAGAAAGAAAAGCATTTCTTTTGCCATAGCAAAATGCACCATTGAGTTAGAATGTTTGTGACTATTTTTAACTCCATTCTGAGATAATAGAAATGGAGGATTTATTTTTTCCTGTATCTGTTCTCAAAGACATTTATCAATGTAGAAATGTAACAATTCTTCAAAGAAAGAAAAAACACAGAATCCTTTCTCCTCAGTCAAGTCAGTGTGATTGTTACCAGAGCTTTTTCTGTAAAATGGGATAAAACAGTATAAAAGAGAAAGAGAGATGATAATTTCTAAACAAATCATTTCACTTAAACTGCCATAAATAATTTCCACATTTCGTCTTGTGAAGCTGTAAAAGTTATTAAGCAAAGAAAGAATTTCCCCCCCAAGAAGTAAATGTATTGTGTTATAAAAGAGAAGAAAAGAATTAAATTAAGGACATGTTGAGAGAACAATCAACACTAACTAAAACAGATTTAAAAGATGTAATTGCTATAGTGAGAAGTAGAAGGAAAAGATGAAGAAGAAAAACTGTAGGTAAGATTATAGTGAATGTAAAGTGGATATAAATTGGCAAATTATTCTCTAAATTTTTAATGCCTTAACAAAATGAGAAAAAATAAGAATTAGGTAAAGAAGAAAGTGTTTTAAGAGAGAGAGAGAGAGAAAGCTCTAAACTATTGAAATGAGGGATGGAAAATTAAATGAAAAGAAAAGCTATTTGAGATGGTGGAATTTGTAAAATTATCTTAGTGGCAATTTGAGGCAGAATTTTAAAGGTCTTTTCTTACACAATTAAATTGAAGGACAAAAGAAAAAAGTCGACAGAGAATTAATTAAAAATTAAAAACTATTGAGGGACAACAAAATACGATGAAAGATTGAGAAAATACTCTACAGAATTATTTTTGATATTGCAACAAGTTAACCAAATATAGTGAGAGCGAGAGAAATTGAAAAAAAAGAAAGCGATAAAGAATGGCAAGAGAGCTAGAAGTAGAAATTAGCAGGAAATTTTTACTTGTTAGCTAATCAATGGTAAAAAAGAGAAATTGATGAAAAATTCATGAAGTAAGCAAGAATTTTCCCTCTAGAAAATTTAACACCTTACGCAAAAGATATTTAATTTTGACAACACAATTCGCCAATGTTGATGAGGATGACAAAGTTACTGAATTCTTCGAGGAAAATCAAATGTAGATTTCTCCATTTTCCAACCACACACACAAACACACAACATATTCTTGCTTCACTGGATGATTGCTGAAAATTCGGGGCCAAAGAAAACATGGAAAAGAAAACCAAGAAAGAGCTGAAAAGAGTTGTACATTGTTGACGACAAGTAGAGTTGGCAGATGAATTCCCATCAGCGAGAGAGAGAGAAGATCGTAGTCTCCTCTTAGGTAGAAACTACTATTTTGTAAATATCCTCCCTGAAGAAGGACATTTGAATGGAAGATAGAAAGAGAGAAAAACTTAAGAAAATTCCGTCCCCAGCCATTTTTTTTACAAGAATTCATTCATGAGTAAAACTTCCTCTTCACACTCTTGGACGAATTTGTTCCTGTAATTTATGAGATTCAGTAATTTTTTCATTCTTCCAAAAATAAATAAATAAATAAAATAAGGGGTATTTTCTTATTTTGCGCAAATCCCAAATTAATTCTCCTCTTCAGTTTTTCTTTTTTTTGGACATTGGAGAAGGAAAAAAATGCGTAGAAAAATTGTAGTAAAAAAAAAACAATACGATAGTGAAAATAATATTTTTTCTAAAAGAACATTTACTGATAAATGAAAATTGAGAGAAAGAGAAAATAAAAATTATTGAGAATGGAAAATAAAAAAAAATGTAACATGAAAAATAAATGTGTTCAAAATTGTTCAAATTTGAGAGAAAGAAATAAAGAGAAAAAAAAACCTTTAACCGAAGAGAAAACTAACGTAGATTTGTATGAATTCCATAAATTGATATTAATTACTATTTAAGGCAAGCAATTAACTTCTTGTTTTCTCGTGTAGTTTTTTCAATATCCAACATTTCCAAACCATATAAAAAATTATCATTGATTTCCTTTTTCTTTTTGATAAAGATCAGAATTGTTACACATTTTGTGCATCAATGAAAGACAGAGAGAAAAATAGCGAAAGTCTTGCTTCATACAATGATAACATGAAAAGAAAAGAAAAGAAAATAACTAGTATCTTCTCGTAAATGATACCTCATTTTGAAAAGTATAACTTTATACCAATTTATGATTGTAATTGTGAGAGCAGAGAATTAGTTAAGGGTCAAAACTTACTTTAGTCAACGTATAAATGGGTAAAGAGTAAAAAAAAAAGAAAATAAAATTGATGAAGCAGAAGTAAAAATATATATTTACCAGAAGGATGCAGATAAAAGTTTATATTTTAGAGAATAAGAATTAAGAGCAAAGAAAGAAATCACTTTAGGTGGAAAATGAACAATCCTAAACTTTACAATCTAAACTAAAATCTTCATTTTGGAAATGAAACATAAGAAATTGAGAGTGAATGGCATTGAATCAAGTACATTTGTACCTATTTCTTCTTAATATTTACAGATGAAGGAACACAAAATACACAAAACAATCCATACACTATTTCATATACACAAACACACACACAAAACACTCTAAGAAAAATGTGAAAGAACGTCAACTTGACACTAGAACTTGAGATCTTTCCATTAAATAATATATATTTTAAGGTGGAAACATTTTACATTTACATGCATTTTTTCCTTGTCTGTTTGTGGCATTGCATTGACTTTTCCTCCACGATGCTCAAGTAATTAATTATAAACAATCCTTCAATCTCTTTCGCCTCTTCAATTTTCTTTTTTTTCACAGAACAAGAAAGAAGCCAGACATTTTTTAAGAAAAAATAACAGTATCTTCCAAGAGCCATAAATGTGAAAAAAAAATCGCCTCCAAACCATGAAAATAATAATGAAGATTTTATTTTATTTTCCTTCCTTTCATATTCGAGAAAAAAAAACACTTTGTATTGACGAGAAATCCCCAGAAAACAAAGCGCGATTAAAGATTTAGCTTCTTGAGAATTCGCATAAATAAGGACATGAATAAAATTAAATTTGATGTGAACAAAAAAATGTGTAAAATCGAAATTTTAATAAAAATATTAAAACAGAATCCTTGAGTGTTTGTATTTATTTTTGGTCTTCGGCAAATTCTACATTTCCTAAAATTCCCCAGAAATCATTGCAATTCTCTTTGATGTTGGAAAAACCTTCGACTTCAATTAACCGGAGGTGGAATTACTAAGCGATTGTGCCTCCATTTGCCCGTCAAATGGGAATCAATTTGAGAAAGTTTAATGATAAAGCACAAAAGCACTCCCAATGAATTAATTATGCATCTGCTGAAGGATTTGTGGTATAAAAGGAGTTATGCAGGAGGAGGATTGGCTTCTGTCGAGTGCGTGTGGCGATGGAGATTAAAACGGTGCGGAGGAATGTGATTCCTTTTAGGGATTTCGTAGTGATTCCCTACTATCTCTTCGCCACCATTGGTCTGGTGCCCTTTGATCCTCATCCTGGCTACAGGATTTCATGGCTGAAAACCCTCTACTGGTGGTCATCCTACGTCAATCATCTCATATGCGTCGTCGGAGAAATGATTTACTTCTATGCTGCGTGGAAGGATGACGAAAAGGATGAAGTGCTGTTCCTGGAGCTCACAGCTCTTGCTCCCTGTACGATTTTCTCCTCCATCGCGCTCATCAAGCTGAACATGATTTGGTGGAATCAGAAGCGTCTCACGCGAATCGTGAACAAACTCGAGGAGATCTTCCCCAAGACGGAGGACGATCAGGAGGAGTATCACATCAGAGAGACACGTCGGGAATCCTACATGATCACAATTTACTTCTCAGTCTCGTACATGATTCTCATTTGGGTCTTCAATCTCCTGCCACTGATTGTCTCCATCATGGACTACATGGACACCGGGATCTACAAGCGACAGCTGCCCTACTTCATCTGGTATCCCTTCAATCCCACCAAGACGGCCAAGATGTTCATGATCATGTACGTGCAGCAGAATTGGGGTGCTTTCGTGTCGATGATTGGGATTCTGGGCACTGATCTCTTCTTCGGATGCTTCATCACACAACTGTCCATGCAATTCAAGACCTTGACGCATCATCTCACCTTCATCACCACGCCCAGGAGGGCCAAAGGATTGCGCAATGCCCGCCTGAAGAGCGCCATCGAGCGCCATCACACGCTGATCGATCTGTGCGCAGAAATGGAAGACATCTACAACTTCTCCATCCTCTGCAACTTCGTCCTCAGCTCCCTCATGATCTGCCTCGTGGGCTTCCAGTCCACGAATCCCGATGTGCACTTTGACATTCTCTTCAAGTACGTCATGTTCCTCATCTGTGCTATGTGGCAAGTCTTCTGTCTCTGCTATTACGGCAACGTTCTCCTCGAAACCGTGAGTTGATCTCTCATTTCACGACGTTCACGACACATTGTGGCGAATTGCTTGATTTCCTTGCAGAGTCAGGCACTGTCGTGGGGCGCTTTCTGCTCCCAGTGGCACAGAGAAGATGCAGAATATCAGAAGAGCATTCTGATGATTCTCATGCGAGCTCAGAGGCCTCAATATGTCACGGCGGGAAAATTCTCCATCGTCTCGCTGAGGAGTTTCACTGCGGTAAATCCACACACACACTCTTTGCATAATTTTCAGACAATTCTAAAGGACTCTTCGGACACTTTCAGATCCTAAGTACCGCATTTTCCTACTTTACTTTGCTTCGATCGGTGTATTATGACAACGGCGGTGGATTTTAAATTCACGAAACACCCGAGAAACATGCATTTTCCCACTGAGAAACAGAAAATCAATGCAAAATTTTGCATATTTAACATTTCAAAAGCATTTTCCCCATGCAAAGTGCCTCCTTTTGAGGCTCATTTCTCACACCCTCTCCACCTGCTTCACATCGAGGGGGTGTCTTTGTCTGCGAAGGACGCCCAGGAAGCTATTTAAGCGCTCTCCCGCGAGGAAAATCCTTCAGTTGTCTCTCAATGCGGATCGCGGATGGAAAAGCTCAGGAAAGCCGAAGAGAAGTGAATGTGAAGTATTAAGTAAAAAAGCTGCATTATTTGAGGATTTATCAGTGTTTGAACCGTTTGAAGTATCTTAAATTATTGTTGAATTTAAAAAGTAGTAATATTTCAATCCTTGGCACAAAAGCTTGGCACGCTTTTTGAGTGAGAAAAATATGAAGAAAAATGTTTTAAAATAAATAGATGAAATGCTTGTGAAGGAAAATGAGGAAAATTTACTGCATTTTCCATAAATGAAGTGCAAAATATACATATTTGAGGGATATCTTTAACTCTCCTTCCCCTGCTTTTGTGATTTAATGCACAGAGTGAATAGCGAAGAAGCCTCCTTGGATATAATTTAAGAAGCTCAATTGTCCCTCCACGAGGAATCGAGTCTGCCGAGTCAGCCACCCTCGTCGCACTGTGTCAATTGGCATCCCCGCGCGAGGAGGCTGATGATGACATTGTCCGTGCGCCCGCGTGGGATGAGCAGGAAGTTGTTTAAAGAAGCCGCACCGCTAATCGCTGACGACGCTGATTCGCTCAAGAGAGTCTCTCGCCTCTCCAGTAACTAGGACATTGTTCGCCACCCACGCGGTGCATCAAGTGGCCGCGGAGCAGCTCAACTTCACTCCTCCGCTGCGCAATGATCCGGTGGACTGTCTTCTGTCTCCTCCTGACTCTGATGTGCGGCAGGATCAGCCGCGGCGAACATCAGTGAGTTCCTCACCAATTCGATTCACCTGATTTCCACTGATTTCTTGGATTCTCCCCCAAAGGACGAGCCTCACCTTCAACGACATCCTCCCGGAGGATCACAAGAGCTACGACAAGATGCGACCGCCGAAGAAGGAAGGCCAGCCAACGACGGTCTTCTTCCACGTCACCGTCATGGGCCTGGATTCCATCGACGAGACGTCCATGGTAAGCCAATCACGCACTCAAATGCAAGAAATACTCGCAATTTATGCCCTCAGACTTACGCTGCGGACATCTTCTTCGCCCAGACGTGGAAGGATCACCGGCTGCGACTGCCTGAGAACATGACGTCGGAGTATCGGCTGCTGGAAGTGGAGTGGCTGAAGCACATGTGGCGTCCGGACTCCTTCTTCAAGAACGCCAAGTCAGTCACCTTCCAGACCATGACCATCCCCAATCACTACATGTGGCTGTACAAGGATAAGACAATCCTGTACATGGTGAAGCTCACACTCCGACTCTCTTGCGCCATGAATTTCCTCATCTATCCACACGACACTCAGGAATGCAAGCTGCAGATGGAGAGCTGTAATGCCCAAAATCACTCATAACGATTATATCTAGCTGAGATTCTATGCAGAATTCTGTGCTTTTCAGTGTCTCACACGACGGACGACATGATTTTCCAGTGGGATCCGGATGTGCCTCTGGTTGTCGATGAGAATATTGAGCTCCCACAATTGGCGCTGGTGCGAAATTACACGGCTGATTGCACACAAGTCTACTCAACAGGTGGGAAAATGTCTTGGAAAATTTAGTGAAATTTATTGTTGAAAATATTGCAAACGGACGAGTTTCAAATCTGTTTCGCTCAAAGATACGAAATTTGATTGCAACATGAAGCATATGCTTCATCGCAATCATCCTGAAGAATTGAGGGAATAAAAAGTATTAAAAAACACATTTTAGGCGATTCTCCTGAAGGACTTTTAAAGAACTTAACAGTAGTCTTCGAGTTTTCTTCAACTTGGTGTGAAGAAGAGCATAATTGGATGGCAAATACTCAACAGCCAATTAATCTGTCAGCCTTTGATCTAATTTTAACACTTTCTAATTACTTTTTGCAGGGAATTTTACCTGTTTGGAAGTGGTTTTCGTCCTGAAACGTCGTCTCGGTTATTATCTCTTTCACACCTATGTTCCAACATGCTTAATTGTCATCATGTCGGTGAGAAGTTATTAAGAAATACTTTTCTATGCTCTTCAGCACTTCCAATGAACTCATAAAGGATTCCCAGAATTGGCCCCAAATGTCCTGATTTCTTTTGCAGTGGGTGAGTTTCTGGATAAAACCCGAAGCAGCTCCTGCCCGGGTGACTCTGGGAGTCACGAGTTTGCTGACCCTCTCGACGCAACACGCTAAATCCCAAGCATCTCTTCCTCCAGTGTCCTATCTCAAGGCCGTGGATGCCTTCATGTCCGTCTGCACAATGTCAGTGGCCGCCCAGTGTCTCTGAGAGTGGCTAAAGAAGTGTTCCTTGCCTTCCAGATTCGTCTTCATGGCTCTCATGGAGTACTGCCTGGTGAACATCGTCCTGGGCGACACTCCACCGACCAAAACCTCCTCATCTGCAGCGGACAAGGGCGACAAGATGATGGAGCCGAAGGGACGCAACAGCGTCTGCCGGGGATCCGTAAGTGATCCTCTCTTTTGCCAAATCTTGGAGCATGTGAGAATTGAATCTTCTCCACACGCAGTTGCTTTCGCAGTTCGGCAAACGGGAAAACGACAACTCCACCGATGTGCCGTGGGTTCCGCGCCAGGACAACTCCATGCTCTCCCTCCAGCCAATCCCCCTCGGACCGGAAGTGACCGGCGAGAAGCCCGAACCGCCCAAACTCACTCCCGCCCAGATTCGCCTCCGCCGAGCCATCAACATCGATCGCTTCTCACGCGTCTTCTTCCCGTTCCTCTTCACTGTCCTCAACTGCACTTACTGGTACATGTTCTACGAGTATCTTTAGGGCGGAGCGCCCGTCTTTTGCGGATTGTAGGCGAATTCTAGAGAATTTCTGTGTCATAGAGCAAAATGGAATATTAGAGCACAATTTCCCCACAACATAATGCAACGCGCGCCACGGTGAGATCCGTCTTCTGCAAATACAGTAGCTCAAGTTAAGCAGGTGTTGAATAAGAAGAAGAAAAATAGATAAACCCAGAGAACTTATTTGTCTTCCTCTCTTTATTTCCTCCACATCCACGAAATGCGCGTCAATCTTAGAACTTCATGCGATGAGGATACTGCGAGGACTTGAGGCGGAAGAGGGCCTTGAGGTACTGGCAGATGAGGTTCCTGTCCTTCCTCTTGCGCAGCGCCTGCTTCACGGCCGTGTCCACAGCCTTCTGGTCCTCCTTGCGCTGCTCCGACGGCACGTACTGCTCCTTCTTCTGCGCGAAGATGTCACCCTCGGTGCGGCGGCTCTTCTTCTTGGCGGCACGCTTGAAGTACTTGTCGTTCACGTGTTCCGGCAGCTTGAACTTGCCCAGATCCACCACCGTCTTGGTCGCGATCACGTACCTCTGCGAGATGCGGCGCATGGGGCAACCGTTGAGGAAGTAGGGTCCGGTGACGAGGAGGAGCCCCGACGACAGCACCTTCAGCAGCACCACACGCTTGGCCTGGTGACGACCAGCCAGCAGGATGAGCACGCGTCCGGGAACCATGGACTTGCGTGTCTTGCGCTGGTGATTCTTGAACAGGCGGCGGGCGGGGCGCTTCTGGACGCGCGGCTTCGTCGGGTAGTACGCCTTCGGCTTCTGCAGCTTCACCACACGCTCACCGCCGTTGTTGGCTCCGCCGATCTTCTTGGTCACCGTAATGGCGACTTTCGGCTTGGTCGCCTTCCTTGTTTTTGTACCCTTGAATCGGTACAACGCCTTGCGCTTGAAGTTGCGCGAGTGCGAGTAACGCATGATGCCACATCCCAGGTCGTAGTTCTTCAGGCGATTGGACTTCTTTGCGTCCTTCTTCACGGACTTTTTCACGGTTTCTGTTGGTGCCATTGTCACACACGTGTACACCGAGCAAAATTTGTATGGAAAAGGGAGAGGTTATGACGGTGTCAAGTGTATGTCGGGAACATCCACCAGAGGGCCTGTCGCTTTCTAGCACTTCCACCACTTCGCCGCGGTGCTCTGGCGGTGAGCACAGTGCACTAAGTGCTCTTGCTAGAAATGGTGATGATTGTTTTGTTTACAATGGAAAAATAAACTAAAACTAGTTGAAAAACCCTAAAAAATGGGTTGATTTTAAATCAAACTTAATTCTTTTGTGTCTAATGTGTCTGTGTTTGTACAACTACCAGAAAATGTAAGTGTCTTCTTGCAGAATCCTCAGAATATTAAGAGTTTTCACACATAATGTTTTTGTTGATGATAATTTCACTTCTTTTTTGTATATTATTCAATTACAGAGTCAAATCAGCATTGCTTTGAAGAAAATGACCACTCCTGTTGTTGAATTTTGCACAGTGAACAACATTACAGTGACTATTCCTGTCTCATCTCTTCTGATAACTCAACAAGTGCCTGTTCTTCCGGACAGGAAAGATGCTGAAGACGGAATTGCAGGAAAATCTCAAATCACTTCTGAACCGCTGAATATCAATAGCAAATGTGATACTGCAGAAACCCCAGGAAATACTAACATTCCAAAAGTAGAATGTGATCAAGTATTTGAAGCGAGGCTTTGTGATAAAGAAAAATCCTGGAGAAGAAGAAAAAGATCAGATGACAAGTGTCTATGCTTTGAGTGCTTGGATAGCTTCTCACTAATCTCTGATTTGCATAAACACACTCTGAAGAATCATCCATCAGATTCCCAGAATTTCCATCAGTGTTTCTTCTGTCCAGGAAAGTTTGCCGACAAGGATTCTCTTCTTCGTCATGTTCTCGTCCATGAGAGTGAAGAATACCACGAGTGTCCTGACTGTTCGGCAGTTTTTGTGGAAATTGGGACTTTTCTTCATCACATGGACAATCATCAAGACAAGTCAGGGACTTTGAGAGTATCAAATGATGAGGAAACAGTTGCAAATCCTCCCGAAAGCAGAGAAGAAGACCGAATGCCTAAAGTCCAGAGGAAGAGGAAGAATGATGCTCAAGGAACTCTTCAGTGGCAGAAGAGAGACAACAAAGTTCGTCCCTTCACCTGCAATCTCTGTGATCGATCATTCACTCTGGCCAGCACGATGGCGCTGCACAAGAAGCGCACGCACTTGGGAATTCGCCCTCACGAGTGTCCGAAATGTGGCTGGAAATTCGCCCAATCCAGCGATCTGACCAAGCACATGCGGAGGCACACAGGAGATCGTCCGTACAGATGTGAATTCTGCGGATTGGCCTTCACTCAGCTCCGGAATCTCAAGGTAATTTCATGATTATGTCTTATCTCGAATCCAAAAATCGGGTCACAATGAGAGTTTCATTGCAGAATCACGCCAAGACGCACACTGAGGAGCCAAGATCGTGCAAATATTGTGAGAAAGTATTCACCATCGACACGAGTCTGCAGGCTCATCTGAGGAAGCACGAAGGATCCGAGGCTGAGCCGTGCGAGGTCTGCGGCGTTCCCTTTACGCAAGCCCGTGATCTGGAGCATCACAGGCGACGACATCACCGGGAGAGTCGCCCGCACAAGTGCTCGAGTTGCGACAAGAGATTCGGGAAGAAGTGCGACATGATAAAACACCAGCGAATCCACACGGGAGAGAAGCCTTTCGCCTGCTCAATTTGCCAGAAGTCCTTCACGCATCCCACGAGTCTCCGGAACCACGCGGCTGTGCATTCGGGCGAAAAGCCCTTCCAGTGCTCCGTCTGCGGCCGCGCCTTTGCCTTCGCCGGCAACCTGAAAGTCCACATGCGCTCACACACCGGCGAGCGTCCCTTCGAGTGCACCGTGTGCCAGAAGACCTTCTCGCGCTCGGCCAATCTCAACGAACACCTGAAGATTCACACGGGCGAGAAGTCGTACAGGTGTGATTTGTGCGGCAAAGCCTTCACGAATTCCTCCACATTCTCGAAGCACAAGAAGATCCACTCTGGCGTGCGTCCGCACAGCTGTCCACTCTGCTCCAAGGCCTTCATCCAGTACGCTCATCTGGCCAAACATCTGCGCATTCACACCGGCGAGAAGCCCTACAAGTGCACCATTTGCGGCAAGTTCTTCAGACGCACAGACACTCTGGCCAGTCACATGAAGACCCATCGCAAGGCTGAGCATCTCAAAGACACGCCATCGGAAGCGCTCCACTTCACCTTCGCCGTACCTGCTGATGAGATGGGCGGACAAGTGTCTGGGGAATTCACACCTGATCAGTCTGTCAGAGTCATGCAATCGCAGGAAGCCACCTTTGACTACATCTCTCCTGACAATTCCACCCTCCTCATCACACATCTCTGATAACCAGGAAAAAAGACGAGTAGATTAATATATTGACTTCCTTCACGAGGAAAATAATTTGACAAGTTTATTCGCTAAAATAATCACGGTGTTGTTAAAGAATAAAATACGAGAACAAATTACTCAGAAGTAAGTGTTGTGGACGCTACGAGTGGCTGCCCAGCGATCTGACACTCTCCCAGTCTGTGTCGCGGAAGAAGGCGTGCGTCTGGATCTCGTCAATGCCAAATCTCTCACTGGGATTCACCTGGAGCAGCTGCAAGGACACGTGAATGTGTCATTAGCAATTTACAGCAAATTTATTCAAATTACTCAGCGATAAAATGTGGGTTTCATAATATGTTTTGCATTGATATTCAGAGAAGTGGCAAAAAACCAGGCATAACAATTCGTGTTATCGCGTAAACAGCGCAAATTGGAATGTTACGCTAAAGAAATGAGGTCAAGCGTGGCACTCACCCCATCCAGAAGAGCCCTGGCCTCATCGGAGATCTCCACTTCTGGATACTGAACCTCATAGTAAGTGAGAATCTCCCCTGGATGAAGAGCTATGAAGGCGTGCCTGGTGAGGATCTCAAAGAGAATCACTCCCACTGTCCACCAGTCTGACACCTCTGTGAGTGGTCTCTCGGGCGCCACATATCCTCCGGCCACAGACTCCTCCTTGAGGAACTTCTCCGTGGCATCAGGGCGACAGTAGAAGTAGGTGAGTAGAAGCTGTCCGGCTGAGCCGAGCAGCACATTGTCCGGATGAAGATCACAGCAGATAACATTGTGCCTGTGGAGAGAGTCAATTGCCACAACCAACTCTCTGGCCCACTGACGAACACATCCTTCAGGAATGGGATATTTCTTTGGTGTCTCGCCTTCTTCCTCCACTGAAACATCCTCGGGAAGCACCTCTAGAGGCTCAGCGCTGGGTTCTTCTGGTGGATTTTCCACCTCTTCAGGAATGTCTTGGAGACCAGATGGAAGAACAAGTTCCTCAATGGCTTCAATGGCACTTCCTATGCCTTTGGATTGCTTCAGAGTGCTGGAAACGGACTTGAGGAGAGATTTTGCACAGTGCACCAAATCCAGAACATCCATGTCCTTCGAGAGAATGTCAAAGGATGGTGGCGGAATGCGCATTTCCTCTTCAGGAGAGTCTTCCATCTCCTCTTGTGGGTGTTCCTCATGAGATTCCTCCTCATTGCTTTCCTCCGTCACTTCAGGTACTCTCTTGACATCTTCAGGCTCTTCCTCTGGGCGAAACTCTCCTGGTTTGTAAGTGCTGATGTAGTCATAGAGTTTTCCCCCGGGCGCCTGATTGAGAAGCAAGTAGATGGAAGATTCTGACTGAAAATAGGCCATCAAGGACACCATGTAGGGAATCTTGTGTGGCAGAAAAGCACCCAGGAATAAGTAGCTGCTCTGTGGCTTCTCAATTGCCTTCATGATGTAGATCTTCTTGTCCGTCTTGTCCTGCACCTGCATCACCGTGTCCACAATCTTCACCACTTTGTAGCGCGACAAGTGACCCAGCGGTCGCTCCAGGGAATACGGCTGAGTTTCTGACGGTGAAAAACTCTGTGGTTTCTTCACAATGTGATTCTCACAGACACTTTCCGCCCTCTTCAGATACTTGGTGGCCTTGTCTTTGGCCATTTGCTGCCTGTCAGTGTCTTTGTCCTGCTTAGCACCCGTCAGGAGTGTGTCGATGCCCTTTTTGTAGCACTCAAAGCTCTCTTGGTACTGTCCATTCACTTCCGCCTGCATTGCTCGGCTGAAGTCCACGGCGGCGTCGAAGAAGTAGTCAATGTCTTGAGCAATGCTGAGCTGGAGTGAATATCTACCCTCGCTGGTCACAGATCCCTCCTCGCTCACAATCGAACCCCGCCTGGACAGGGAGTCGCAGTTGGTGAGTGTCTCCAGTGATGCATTCGACAAGGAATCGACACAGTCAATGGACACAATATCACTGTCCGCCTCGCAATCCCGCGTGGGATCGATCAGGGCGACGTCAGACTGGAAGGGAATGGAGAGATCTTTGCAGATCGCCGCGATGTTCCCCTTGTGACTTGGCGAGGTGTTCGGCGTGTGACCGCCGCGCAGGAACTTCACGAACACCTCACTCGTATACAGTGCCGGATGCATGGCGACGAACTCCAGCAGCTCAATGATGTACTGACGCCGCTCGCCAATGACTTCCGCGTCGAATCGCCGGAAGAAGTATCTGTCCTCGAGTTTAGGCACTTTCCCGGACAACTTGAGCGCTCGGTGGCGACGGTGTATCTCCTTGTGGAGCGTCTTGATCTCACTGAAGCGCTTCCACACTGTCACACACGACAGTGCCTCGGGCACAAATCGCGGGAATACCTAAATGACACAATTTCAGCGCAAGATTGAGCAATGTGATAAAGGAAAATAGACAGTCTCTGACTCACTATTGATGTTATTTTGTAGATTGTGTAGCCTTTCTTGTGTCGCGAAATCTCATTTATGGAGAAACTATGCACCCATCCTTCCTCCGCCGACGCCATTGTCGCCCCCAGGGGGTTCTTTTTACACCCTCAGCACTGCCGAATGGGTGAGATTTAGCCAGGAAAATTGCACAACATTTCACACACAATTTATTGCACAATTTGCAAAACAAAACACGGAATTTCACGGGACAAAATACGGCGAATGGCGGCGAAGTTGGAACGTTTGATGGCGAAAATCATATGGAAGAACCGAGCTGAACGCATGAATGAAACTGTTTGTAGAATTTATAAGCAATTTCTGGGTATTTTTATTTCTCGCAGAAATTAAAAGAAGCACACAGGTATTTTACGGAGTGATTGGCAATGAATTTTCCTCTCATTGTCGTTTATTTGTTTTGAGGAAGACACACTTGTCAGTGGTACGCATAAG